GCTCTTTCTAGACCTCAGACCGGGCTCTTTCCAGACCTCAGACCGAGCTCTCTCTAGACCTCAGATCCTCATACCGGCTCTTTCTAGACCTCAGACCGGGCTCTCTCTAGACCTCAGACCGGGCTCTTTCTAGACCTCAGACCGAGCTCTCTCTAGGCCTCAGACCCTCAGACTGGGCTCGCTCTAGACCTCAGACCGGGCTCTCTCTAGACCTCAGACTGGGCTCGCTCTAGACCTCAGACCGGGCTCTCTCTAGACCTCAGACCGGGCTCTCTCTAGACCTCAGACCGGGCTCTCTCTAGACCTCAGACCGGGCTCTCTCTAGACCTCAGACCGGGCTCTCTCTAGACCTCAGACCAAGCTCTCTCTAGACCTCAGGCCAGGCTCTCTCTAGACCTCAGACCCTCAGACTGGGCTCGCTCTAGACCTCAGACCGGGCTCTCTCTAGACCTCAGACGAGCTCTCTCTAGACTCAGACCCTCAGACTGGGCTCGCTCTAGACCTCAGACCGGGCTCTCTCTAGACCTCAGACCGGGCTCTCTCTAGACCTCAGACTGGCTCGCTCTAGACCTCAGACCGGCTCTCTCTAGATCTCAGACCGAGCTCTCTCTAGACCTCAGACCCTCAGACTGGGCTCGCTCTAGACCTCAGACCGGGCTCTCTCTAGACCTCAGACTGGGCTCGCTCTAGACCTCAGACCGGGCTCTCTCTAGACCTCAGACCAAGCTCTCTCTAGACCTCAGACCGGGCTCTCTCTAGACCTCAGGCCGGCTCTCTCTAGACCTCAGGCCAGGCTCTCTCTAGACCTCAGACCGGGCTCTCTCTAGACCTCAGACCAGGCTCTTTCTACACCTCAGACCGAGCTCTCTCTAGACCTCAGACCGGGCTCTCTCTAGACCTCAGACCGAGCTCTTTCTAGACCTCAGACCGGGCTCTTTCCAGACCTCAGACCGAGCTCTCTCTAGACCTCAGATCCTCATACCGGCTCTTTCTAGACCTCAGACCGGGCTCTCTCTAGACCTCAGACCGGGCTCTTCTAGACCTCAGACCGAGCTCTCTCTAGACCTCAGACCGGGCTCTTTCTAGACCTCAGACCAAGCTCTCTCTAGACCTCAGACCCTCAGACTGGGCTCGCTCTAGACCTCAGACCGGGCTCTCTCTAGACCTCAGACTGGGCTCGCTCTAGACCTCAGACCGGCTCTCTCTAGACCTCAGACCGGGCTCTCTAGACCTCAGACCAAGCTCTCTCTAGACCTCAGACCGGGCTCTCTCTAGACCTCAGACCGGGCTCTCTCTAGACCTCAGACCGGGCTCTCTCTAGACCTCAGACTGGGCTCTCTCTAGACCTCAGACCGGGCTCTCTCTAGACCTCAGACCAAGCTCTCTCTAGACCTCAGGCCAGGCTCTCTCTAGACCTCAGACCCTCAGACTGGGCTCGCTCTAGACCTCAGACCGGGCTCTCTCTAGACCTCAGACCGAGCTCTCTCTAGACCTCAGACCCTCAGACTGGGCTCGCTCTAGACCTCAGACCGGGCTCTCTCTAGACCTCAGACCGAGCTCTCTCTAGACCTCAGACCTTCAGACTGGGCTCGCTCTAGACCTCAGACCGGGCTCTCTCTAGACCTCAGACCGGGCTCTCTCTAGACCTCAGACCAAGCTCTCTCTAGACCTCAGACCGGGCTCTCTCTAGACCTCAGACCGGGCTCTCTCTAGACCTCAGACCGGGCTCTCTCTAGACCTCAGACCGGGCTCTCTCTAGACCTCAGACCAAGCTCTCTCTAGACCTCAGCCCGGCTCTCTCTAGACCTCAGACCCTCAGACTGGGCTCGCTCTAGACCTCAGCCGGGCTCTCTCTAGACCTCAGACCGAGCTCTCTCTAGACCTCAGACCTCAGACTGGGCTCGCTCTAGACCTCAGACCGGGCTCTCTCTAGACCTCAGACCGGGCTCTCTCTAGACCTCAGACTGGGCTCGCTCTAGACCTCAGACCGGGCTCTCTCTAGACCTCAGACCGAGCTCTCTCTAGACCTCAGACCCTCAGACTGGGCTCGCTCTAGACCTCAGGCCAGGCTCTCTCTAGACCTCAGGCCAGGCTCTCACTAGACCTCAGACCGGGCTCTCACTAGACCTCAGACCAAGCTCTCTCTAGACCTCAGACCGGGCTCTCTCTAGACCTCAGACCCTCAGACTGGGCTCGCTCTAGACCTCAGGCCAGGCTCTCTCTAGACCTCAGACCAAGCTCTCTCTAGACCTCAGACCGGGCTCTCTCTAGACCTCAGACCATCAGACCGGTCCTCCCTCATGCAGAGTCCCTCCCTGACTGTCCCCTCCTCCTGCAGGATGAGGACTCTGTTTACGTCTTATTTCTGTGACCTCACGGCGCCGTGCGACCTCTCAGGTGAACGCCGTCTCTCTCTGCATCAGTCTGTGCTCTCTGCAGCTCTCTGAGGTTCTTTTAAAGACACAGCGTCTGAGGCTCGTTCGGGTTCACTGCTCGTTCACGTCACTTTGGATTTGCTGAGTCAGAAAAACGCAAATGTGTGTCAGAGCGGGTAGCGCCGCAGCCGAGCGCCGAGGGCAGAAACACAGAGGTCACGTGAACACACAGAACGACTGATTTATTCATGAGACTAAATGTGGTTCAGTTTACGAGGAGGAGAAAAGGTTTGTGTTTGTGAGGAGAGTTTTTTCTGTCCTGAAGGACGCCTCAGTGGAGATGAGAAACACAACAAAGATATCCTGCTGCTCCAGAGATCACAAACACACCGAGAGATGATCACCCAGTGACCTCAAAGTCAAATCCTTTGGGCTGAAATCAAAACGTTTCTCAGATTTCTGCAGAACATTTCAGGGAAGTTTAATGTGCTCACGTTGTGAATGAGATTCTTTTCAGAGTAAAGTAACTAAAAATGGACTGTTTGTTAAAGCAGTTTGATCACTGATTCAGAACTTTGAAGACTCTATTTACATTTTGAACAATATAAATCATTTGACAGTCCTAATTTTAATTCATTAAATGGTTCCCGCGTTCTGAACTTGTTCTCACATTTTAGAGAAAAAAATAAATCAAACATTTAAAAAAACGCAGGACTAAATAAATCTATTTGTGATCCGTGACCACTTCCTGTTTCTGTGGTAACCTTCCATCTGCCAGAAGGTTCTTACTGTATTTCAAAATAAAAGCAGGGTTGTATCCAAACAGGAAGTTATGAAAACTCAGCGAAGACAATACTGATAACATTTCAAAATAAAAGCATGACAAAAACGGTTCCAAATGCAAACTAATGGAATTTATGTTAACGCTCCACGACTAAATAAAAAAAACACATTGAATAAAAAAGGTGTTTCCTGTTTTGCATACCTGCGCTGCGTATTTGGTTTGTGAGCTTCTGCTGGTCGTTTACATCCGACACGTCGACACCGAATATTTACAGAATATTTTACTGACCGATAAAAACTAGTTTTTAGAAACAGCTCGAGAGCTCGATGTCCTCACAAATACAGAGGCACCAACTGTGTGTGTGTGTGTGTGTGTGTGCGTGTGTGTGTGTCCATGTGTGTCTGTGTGTGTGTGTGTGTGTGTGTGTCTGTGTGTGTGTTTAGTACAGTGTATGTGTGTGTCTGTGTGTATGTGGCTACAATGCCCTCAGTTAACTGTTTCACAGATGTCATTACATCAGCATATTAATAATAATATTGGCGTATAGTACAGTGTGTGTGTGTGTAGTACAGTGTGTGTGTGTGTGTGTGTAGTACAGTGTGTGTGTAGTACAGTGTGTGTGTGTTTGTAGTACAGTGTGTGTGTGTGTGTGTGTGTGTGTAGTACAGTGTGTGTAGTAGAGTGTGCGTGTGTAGTGCTGTGAGTGTGTGTGTGTGTGTATGTAGTACAGTGTGTTTGTGTAGTACTGTGTGTGTGTGTGTGTGTGTGTGTGTGTGTGTGTGTGTGTGTGTAGTACTGTGTGTGTGTGTGTGTGTGTGTGTGTAGTACTGTGTGTGTGTGTGTGTGTGTGTGTGTGTGTGTGTGTGTGTGTGTGTGTGTGTGTGTGTGTGTGTGTGTGTGTGTGTGTGTGTGTGTGTGTAGTACTGTGTGTGTGTGTGTAGTACTGTGTGTGTGTGTAGTACTGTGTGTGTGTGTGTGTGTGTGTAGTACTGTGTGTGTGTGTGTAGTACTGTGTGTGTGTGTGTGTGTGTAGTACTGTGTGTGTGTGTTTACTCATTAAGGCATAATAAGACATTAATAACGTGTTTACATATCATACACAGGAGGGGGCGCTGTGCCACATTAAAGGTTCATTCATCATAAAACATCTTTGTGTTCGTCAGAAATCAGACTTCACGTCTTTGACTGAGAAAAACATTTCTCATCATGTGTGACATTTACAGCCCGCAGCAGTCGAAGCTGTCTGACAAATCAGAAACTTACATCGAAATAAACGCCGATTTAGATTCTCTTGCAATGTTTGACCACAAGGGGGCTCCAAAAACAACCTACACCTCGTGGTGGTGTGTTCAGCACCATTAAGTAAAACCTTTTGTGGTCGCACGCTAATATTAATCTGAGGCCGTGCAGCAGAGGAAGACTTCTCAAGCTAATGTTTTTGTTAGGGGAGGTACACACCGAGCCCACCGTCAGGGGGCGGGGCCTGCCAGGGCTGGTCAGAGAGAGTCGACGCACAGAAGTCCTTTCTCATGTAGCGTCAGTAAGTTGACGAAGAATTATGAACGAGTGTTCAAACGCCGCTGTTTGTGTATCCTCGAGTTCTCGCCTCTCCCACACTAACCAATCAGCAACGAGCTGTTTGGCGTTTGAACTGAGTTAGACTTTTGGCTCGACAGCGGCGGACAGAAGAGGACGCAGCAGTCGGTTTTCGTCGCACTTCGCTCGTGGTCGTCAGGGTGGCCTCTAGGGTAAAATAACGTAGATATCAAAGTAAACGTTAAAATAAACTTTGAAATCAAACGTCAGTCCTCGTTTTGTAGATCGATGATGTTTTTATTTCACGAGATGAAGTCTTGGACTTTCTCCACTCAAAAGAAACCGAAACAAAGAGCTTAAAGACGCTAAAAAGCTTCTTTTTAAAAACTCGTTGTTTCGTTTTTTTATTGCACAGATCAGATCGCAGAAACTGAAAGTCCATCTCTCTCAGGAAGGTTTAACCATGTTTGTATTTTCAGATGCTGTAGCTCATAAACGTCACACCGGAGTGAAATATCTCGTTCTGAATGTTTATCCGTGTGTGAGCGACCAGCACACGTCAACGTTTCTCTGTGTCGATGTCCCGATAAAGACGCTTTCTAGACTTATTCACAGCAGCAGGTGGAGTATGTCATCACATTAATCTAACAGCTACGTAAGGAGCGTGACAGATCATTTCAACATTTGACTTCATAAATAAAGTTTTTTCTGCAGCAGCGTGCAGCGCCGTCGCACACAATGTGCTTCAACACTTTCATAATATATTCAAACTGTGATATAGTGTTTATCTCATTAGTGTGCTCTGTTCCCACGCTGCCACATTCTTACCTCTCTTCTTCTTCTTCTTCTTCTGCCTCTTTAAGTCAGTCTGTGATTGGTCAGAATAAATATCCTCACACTCGCTCCAGCAGACTTGCGCTCGACACGTGCTCCTCCAGTCGGCACAAACGGGGGACTTGCATCGCTTTGCGTCCCCCATGGTTACAGCTTGCTCAGAGGGCGGCTGCAAAGTGAAAGTAGAGGACGCTTAGATGACTCCGTGTGCAGCATTTAAAGAAGAAGAAGAAGAAGAAGAAGCAGCAGCAGGAGGAGGGTTCCTGCTCGGTCCGGCCTGGGTTTGATTCCTTGTCTCTGAGTGTTCAACCTGAAACTCCCCACCGCCCTCCCCGCCCTCCCTTCCCTCGTCCTCCCCCGTCGCCAGCTGCTTCATCCTCAGGTTGATGGAGCCATAAGTCCTCTTGGGTCGGACGAACGCCGCCCTGCGTCGGTACATCTCGCCCCTGCAGATGGACACCATGAGCAGCACGGACAGGAACATCCCGCCCAGCGTCAGCAGGCCCAGCCCCGCGATGATGCACTTGTCCAGGTGCGCGCCCAGCTGGGCGTAGTACATCTCCAGCTTCTCCATCTGACGCGCAGACACCGAGTTGGGGTCCACTTTGGCCTCTCGGGGGATGGTGTAGGCGATGACCACGAGGACGATCCCGCTCACCAGGAACACTAGGGCGAAGATGAAGCCATAGTCTGCAGAGTGATCGTCGGGGGGTTATACTCGGTGAAGTCCTGACTTTCCTCCTGACCGCCGCCACCGCCATCCTCCTCATCGTATGAGCGTGGAGAGAGCTCCTGACGCTGCTCCACCTGAGAAAAGAAAACAATTTTTTTTTTACACCTTCACCGTAACATCTGAAAATCAGACACACTGCGTCAACAGACAGAAGCAACGAGGCTCCACCCTCTCCAGATGTGGTCGTTTCTGCAACAAGATGGTGGCAGCTTGATGTCAAACGTGAGGCTTCAAATCAATCGATCACAACCCATTGGGGACGCCAGCTTCTTACGAACAATCTGGCACCATAAAAAAATCTGAGATCGTGAAACCAAACCACTGACCGAAAAGTAAAAAGTAAAATCATCGCTGTGTCTCGTTTACCTTGCTGTTCGCTGAAGTAGAAGGCGGACATCCTGCAGACACGGTCGCCCCCTGCTGGTAGTCGTACTCTTCGTCCTGCTGGTAGGAGGCGTTCTCGAACCCGCGGACTGAGCATCCCGCTGCGCTCGCTGTCCAGGAGGACGAGGGCGGAGTCGGAGACACGCCCCGCCCGCCTACCCCGCCCCGCAGCTCTCTGAGCTCTACGGCGTTAAAAGACGACTCCATGGACGTCGGCTCGCTGTGCTCATGTCTTCACCATCGCTCCTGTCGACATCATCACTGACCACAGAAGAAGAGACGACAGGAAGTGTGAAACTTCATAAA